AAATACGCGTATAATCGGCCGTAATCTATAATCTGGAATCACCTAGAAGAGATAGAAATATTAGGTGTAGTAAAAAGAAATCCATTATTTTTCCATTCAATTTCATGCAAAAATAATGGATTTCTTTTTACTATACCTAATATATGAATGATTAATATATATTAATTTAAAAAAAGAATTTTATACATATATTCTTTTTTGAAGGGGGGAGACTTGTATGATTCAATTAGAGCTAAAAATTTGTAATTCAGAGGAAGGAATAGACAGTTCAGATATTATTTATTATATTTAAAATATATAAAAAATTCATTTGTATTGGGTTGTCCGGAAAGTTCATGCCGATTTTGAAGGAAAATTGAAACGCAGAAGATTTAAATTTTAGTATATATTTATTAAATTTAAATTTTTTGCAGCACGATTGTCCTTTCCGGACAATCCAATAATACAAAATTTATTAAAAATATAAAAATAAGTTTCCTGTGTGTCATTAAAGACATACAGAAAAATTTATGAAAATTTTGAGTTTTGCCATGGAAACCTAAAATAATATTAGAAAAATATTATTTAAAAATGATAAATAATGTAATTTTAGTACGAAAATTAGAGTTTTACATTTATGTTATCATTTTATAACAACATACATCTCTAATAATCTACTTTAAGTTTAAGCTGAGCAAAATATTATAAAAAAAATTAGACCAGAAAATAATTATTATTTTTTAGAAAGGAATCGTGACAAAACGCAACACACTTGGGCTTGTATTCAATGACAGAAAACTTATATTTTTAATAAGTTTTGTATTACAAATTAATATTCCACATTTCCAAATACAGTAGTTAATTTTTAAACGAAGATCTATTTAAACCTTTTTTTGATATAAATTTTATTTTTAACAAATTTCCTATCTATCTTGATTTAGAAAATAATTGAAACAAAATATTATTAAATTACCTCCATGTTCGAGAAAACTGAGTTTAATAAGGCCGGTGCTAGTCCAGGCAACTGATAAAAATCTCGACCGATCATGTGACAGCCGCTACCTAACATATGATAGCATTGGTCATGAACTGTACTCAGGAATGATTGCATTCGAACCAAAGAAGTGCTTAAGACCTGGTCCGTTTCACTATTGTTGTCGTTAGTTATACTAACGCCCAAAAGATTCGCCTTTTCAGATTCCAAAAGTCCATAAGCATTTTTATAACCCTAGAATAAATACAGATATATTTAGCAATTTTTAACAAGAACAAGATATCAAAATATTCAACTCCATCATTTTACTCGCAACGATTAGTTTTTCGATATTTCCATGTCGAAGAGGATAAAATGTTGCGTATGCTCACATCTTAAAATTCAATTTGTAAAATATTAAATACTTATTACTGTTGTATAAATACATTTCTCTGACATAAAACAATTACAATATAAACTTCATTTCATACCAAATATTTATGTATCCAACTTGATCTCAGTTGATTAGTAACAGTAGCAATTGTTACCTCAGATAGAGCAGCAAGAGCAGCATGACTGAAGAGACCATTCATCGTTCGCAGTAGCGCAAATAATGTTGGTAGAATAGGGATTATATGAGGTGTTGCTGGATTTCGATATACCGGATTGCCGCTCTCGCTGAGTGCGGCTACGAAGCCACCTCTGGCCGCGCGATCGGGATCTTCTGGGATTGAGCATCGTTTAACTACACTCAGCACAGTGCAAATACACATCATGAGATCGCTGCGATTGCGTTTAGCTGGATCTTCCAACGCGTTCTCCACCGGTGGTCTGTCCAGTCCCACAAACTGCATAAGTTCTAGCGGTCCCTCGAACCATTCCGTGCCTAGCGCGATGAATTTACTGGATGAATCACTGATCACTTCCGTAACAAATCGAGTCTGTCTCTCATAATCGCAAAAATGATTCGAGATAAGGAGCAATGCTTCATATAACATGACACTCTCCATTCGAGACAACGGACTTGGCTCACGAGTCAAACTGCGCACCATCGTGTGTATCTGCTCGAATACTGGCAGTAACAACAGTGGATACTTGAGACTGATCTTCACCATCAAACTGGCTGCATGTCGTCGCACGCTTTTGGACGCTCGTGATCGATTATTTTCGTTTTCACCAGGCGCCTCGAATACTAATGCAGCAAAGATCTTTTCAAGGACACGCGGTAAGATAGCAACACCCGGCATAGCCATCGAACCAGTTGACATCGACAGAAACACGAAGAGTGCGCTTATACAAGAAAGTAGAGCGGATAGAAGCCAAGGATCTTGTGGTGAATAACTTAGACAGAGCTCCAACAACTGTAGACCCGTCTGTACGCTCGGCCGCTCATTGATTAGCAAGATCCTGGACACAACAGAATCTAATGCATGCGCGAGAGCTTCCCATTCAAGATACTCTCGATCGTTTTGATCACTTTTGTATTGCAGGTTTGCCATACCCTTGGTGATCTTCGCGGTTAGCCACTGTTGCACATATGTAAACGTCACTAAAGGTGCCACCATAGTTGCATGTCTAAATCCTTCTAACAGATCCATTCTGAAGCGATGCAGAAAAACGTTGAATTCTTCCTCTGAGTCATAATCAACGAGGCAGTATGTGGTCATGCCGTTACTTTGTCTACCATGTGGATATGTAACGCGGATCAACTTGGGTGCGGTATGCTCCACGTACTTGGGCACATATGTAAGCAGTAACGAGTCTGTCTTGATCTGTTCGTGTTTAAACAACATCACCCAAATCACGTTCGCTAAATGCGTGAGTGTGAGGCTCGGATACATGGTGAACGTAAGCACGGTGTCCAGAAAGAGATTGAAATGTGTCGGTCGTATGCTAGAGGCATCATCTTTTCCCCACAAGGCGCAAAGTTGTGTCGCCATACCAGTCAATACCTGAAATAACAATCACACGAATGATAATCAGTTTAGCTGCTGAAATTACGAGATATCTTTATCGAATATTATATCGAATGTAGGGCGATTATAACAAATACTTGTGTGAGCTTCTTCAAAAATAAATAATGATTTTCATGGAAATTTGTAGGTCCAGCCAAAGGCGGTGGAGCAGTGGCTGCAGTATAAATATATCTCAAAGCTTCCTCTGAGAATAAGATCATCAATTGCTTTCGATCTTCGGCCTTGCCTTTACGATTTACAATCTGAAGCAAACATTCAGCGGCAGAACACTGAAATATAGGATCTCCCAATAGGAGGCATAGTATCTGCAACAATCTTCCATCCTCGGCCATTACATGATTTATAGAAACCCATTCGACAAATCCAGTTAATGTGGATAGTACTACCTGTTATAATGGTACAAATTTTAATTGAAAAAACAATCATTAGATACATGCATCTTTTTCGTAAAAACCTACTTGAACGACTTTACTATGTGCCGCAGCTTCGGATGTTTGTCCTAAGGCACTTTTCTTCTGAAACTCTGAAAAGTGTTGCTCCATTAATCTCAGAAAGAAGCTAAAGATCTCGGCCATGTTCGTAGTCAACGCCTGATATATATCTTTCCTTCTTTGATTTGATTCGAGTGTCTGCAGGAGTGCTACATCTTCTACCAATCTGAGGAATACCAATAAAACTAACTCAGTTTGACTCTCGCCTTGTGTGCATGCCTGACTGAGCTCGGCCAACAGTGTGGGCCACTGCTGAGGCCATTCACGCTTTATCATCTCAACTACGACACGCGACAGAGCATCCTTTATATGTGCCTCTTCCTGTAGCAGTGGTTGGGTGCCTTCTTGAAGTAATTTCATCGCATTCTCCTTAATGAAAATCTTTTCTGACTGAGAAATTTGTGTCCATCGATACTTCACACAGTGTTCCATCAACTGCAAACCAAAGTGACGCACCACTGAGCTCCTCTCGGGTAATTTCTGTGCCAAGTACAAGCCACATTGCGCACACAATGGTGAAGATTCCTTGAATCTTTCACAGGCATTGTACATCTCCAGGCGTTGCGGTTGAGATATACCAGGTGACATCATCATCTCGACCACTCGAGCCAGTTCTGCCGATATCTGGGCGACATCGCCTACTCCGAACTCCATTCCTATTAGCACTGAAATATGAAACAGATATGTTTAACTATAATAAGCAATGCTTGTTACATCTATATAATATCTTAACAACTAATTTACCTTTCTTATTAAAACAAAAATATAGAGAAAATAAACAAAGGATAAAAAGATCTTGTCATATCTCTATAACAATTAATAACATATGTGTATCGCTTGTAACGAAAAAGATGTTCTTGTACAAAAATTTTTCTCGACAATAATTAGCAATTGAAAACATCTAATATCATCATAATAAATACATTTACATAACGCAATCAAACAATTTTATTTTAATGATTTCCCCGAGCTTGTTTAACGAAAACAGATTGAATTATTCGGTGACTGGCTCTGAATTACATATCAACGTACATATCAACGTTTCGCGATGTAAGATATCGTAACAGAACATCAATCTGGGAGCCGGTATAAATAATTGAAACGAGGTTTGCTCACGCTGCATCCGCGGGAGCATACGCAAGAAAATCGGCAGCGACGGGCGCTCGTCGTCGGCGAGGTCGTGTCCTCCAATCGGAGAAAATTCACGGGCGGACACGCGCGGGCACACGCGGCGCAAACACGCGTGGACGAAGCAGCTTGTCGCGTGCACGCTCGCTTCCGTACTTACTCACCTGACTGACGCGAAACTGCGGTACGAGACGGAGCTTGGAGCGGGGGCCGCGTGGAAGGCGCGGGATTCTCTCCGGCGTCGCGCCACGCGTCAATTCATACCTGGGTCCGTCTTCGAGAGAGGAACAAAAAAAATCGCAAAATCAACGCGCGCGATGCGACGATCGTGTGCTACGCTCGTCACACAGTACTTTTTCGGAGAATGCGGCAGTGGCACGCTGGCCGGACGATCGCATATACGAGTCACGTGCTGCCCTCTCGACGGCACCGTGCCGCTGCCGCCGCCGCACTGATTTAATCTAACCTAACCTAACTCGACACCGGACGTGTGTATGTACACACGCTTTTCTTTTCTTTCGGATCGCGGTGAGAAAACAAGTTGTGGTTCGATTTATTCTTCCATTTATTCGATTTATTCCACTGGTTTCTCCGTTCTATTTATATCGCGTGTTTGTAATCCTCCTCTTTTTTTTTCCTTACATTAATAATCGATCGATCACGGTAAAGTTCCGCAAAACTAACCTATCTCATATCTTGTAGGTTATGCCGGCTCCTTTTCTACTCGTGCACACACCTACGTATCGAGGACGAGAGAGATAGGATGGACGAGGCAGTCACCACGCCGCCTACATTTAAACGGAGTTTCTCAGAACGGATTTACTGTGTAGAGTTTTCGCCGTACGAGTGGTCGCAGCACTTGATCTGCATTGCCCTCGCCAAGGAGATCGTCGTTGGTACTGTTAAATTTCAGGTTTGTGCGAGGAGTCCATCGATGAGAATTACAACTTTTTTTAGTTTTGCTAGAAATTGTCAACATATTGACGAAATAAAAATTATAGTTGCTTTTCACTTATATCGAATTTTAAAATTTTCATTTGTGATGTCTTAACTCGGTTCTTGACATATTCTTTTTCATTCTAAGATTCAACTCTTTTGAATTTTTACTTGTAATCTACATGAACTCGAAGTCTTGTGCTTTACAGTCTTGTTAATTCACATTAAAAATAAGATTATAAACCTGTGTTGTTACATGATAACTTTATTAAATCAAAGTAAACAAATAGTATGATATCATTATCTTGATATAAAATACTCACATACATATAGATAAAATCAAATCTATTCATTTCTATTTTAACAAACTTTAAATAACAGGATGAAGATGATGCTGTGGAAGAGATGGCATATAGTCCTATTAGAACATTTCATCACGATGCCAGGCCCCATGCGATCGCTTGGAGCCCAGAAACCTCCCTGAGTATTGTCCCCAAAATTGTCACATTTTGCGTTGCTGGATCAGATTTCAAAATAAGACTATACAATAGCAATCTGAATGACGTCAATATGTTCGAGGTAGGAGTACCTTAGGAATATCTTAAGTGTTATATAAGTTTATAATGCTAATTAAATTCAATAGTGTAACAAATGTTTTAAAGATTTTAGAAGGCCATAAAGATTATATGAATGCAATCTCCTATGAACCAGAAGGTGAACTATTGGCATCAGTCTCTGATGATCATACATGTAAGCTGTGGGCTGTTAAAGAGAACCAAAAGTGTGTATCTACATTTTACTTAACGTCACCTGGAACTAGTGTATGTTGGCATAATGAAGAATCTGGCAAGCTCTTAGTAGCAGAAAAGAACGGTTTAATACGTATGTACAATGTCAGAAGTCATCAAGCTATTATGTCTCTTGATTCAGGAGTTGTTCCCTTGACTGCAGCTGACTGGGGACCCAATCCCTTAAAAGTTGCATCGATAGCTGCTGGAGAATTGTTGCTTTGGGATGTGTCTAGACCCAGGTAATAAAACATTTAATTTTAAATCTTTTTGAATCATATTGGATCTGTTCCTTTAGCTGAATTTCTTGCACAGTTCACTCTTTTCTTTTTTCTCCAAAAAAAGGAAAGTTAAATTATAAAAGAAGTTCAATTAAAAACTTATTGATTTATGCTTTCATTAAATTTATGTATTCATTTCCAATTCTAGTCGTCCTCTTGATGAGCGGACACTTCATGTGGAAGGTGGTTTAACAGTAAAAATCTCACATGCGAATGAAAATCTGATATCAAGTATTGGATGGCCGGATAATTTATTGAAGGTTGTTAATTTAAAATCGAAAGTAGTAGTATTGTGTGGAAAGGTAAAGTTAATTGGTGGTACGACATGGCATTATAAATTACCATATGTTTGTGCTGGAAGTGACAGAGAATTATGTTTCTGGAGAATAAATGTAAATTAGTATACATCAAATATGATTTTGTCCATAAATGAAATTCTGACTTTTCAGAACTTGGGATGTTACATAGCGATTTAAATAATTTTTTTTTATTATACTTTAATGTTTCTTTATGAGTTGATTAAGAGAATTAATTTTTATACACAACACATTAGTAATAGTTTGAGATATTTTGATTTTCATTAGAAGTATATTCTCTTATTACATATATGCGATAAATTAATTTATATATACATATAAATCTTTGGAGGTAAAAAATTTTACACTTGTGTAAAAAATGCGTAAAAAAGAAAAAAATGTATTTTTATAATGAACTATAATTACAAGATTTACAATATATATGAAAGTAATTTATCATGTGTAGCTTATCATTTATAACGATATAAAAATCTATTTTGCAAGTTTTCTTTATATTTGTATTTGAAACTGTTTCATTACTGAGATATACTCATAGTAAGACATTTTCCGATTGCAAATTTTCTTCTGATTCAAACGTTTTTATGTCTTCTCCAAATTTATCTAAAAATCGTGAAAGTTGTTTTTTGGTACTATCTCTCAATTTTTTAGCAAGTAAAAAACAAGATTTCTGAAGAACGATGTTAGGATCAGGTATGTAAACTCGATCTTCATTGAATTTATTTATATCAAGTTTAAGCTTCTCTACTTCTTCCTCAATATTCCTATATTCATCACCATTTTCGATCTTGTCTTTTGTCTCCACTGGAATATATATTTAAAACATATTATATACGTGTATAAGACAATGAATTATTATTAAATTAATCTATCACTGCTATGTATACAATCGTATATCAAACAAACATCGTATATCTAACAACAGATTAGAAAAAAGAACTAACCTTCACGACTTATGGCAAGAGCCATAAGTTGATCCTCCAATTGATTATATTTAGAAATCTTATTCTGATGAGATACATTTGTTTCGTTTATGGCATCTTCTAGCAAATCTAATACTAACTGCGTAAACTGCAATTCTTCTTCAACCGATAGCTTTTCTAAATATTTCAATAACCAATTCAGAATACCGATACATAAATAAGCACGTATACTCTGCGATACAGGATAATCACTTTTTGCATAAATGCTATTCTCGTCTGTTGGTTTTTTAATATCCAATTTCGTGAGAACATGCGTATAGAATCCTTCTTTTGTCGTTGTTCCATATTTTGATACTCTATTTTCGAATTCGAACACGTTACCTAATGCTGTTGTTAAATGTTTCAATCGGGTCTCTTTCACATCGGACGTAGCCGCCATGGCAATTTGATAACTAATATTTATTTGCATCTAAAAAAGATAATATAAAGAAATGTAATACAAATTTGTTATTATACGAAAAGTATTAAGCATTGTTATTAAATATTATTTACGAAAAGTGTACTAATCATTTTTATTTTTATCTTCTAGATCTTACCACTTTATCGTTCGTTACATTTCTCAGAACAATGTTGGTATCATCTTTCTTTCGTAAGAGACCGTAGTAACAAGTACCATATTTTTCCTCAAGAATTTGTAACATATCATTATTTTCCTTTCCTTCCAACCACATCTTCATCAGATCGAACTCAGTCTGTTCTAAGAACGTACTCATGATTGTCTCATGAGCATCTATGTGTACGTTTAGATACTACACAGAATATTTTTAGTTATATATAAATATAAATAAATAAATAAATAAATATATAAATATATATATATATATATATATGTTGTGTACATGCTTGTTGTGTGTAAAAATATACCTGAACTTGTCGGATGTTTGCAATAAGGGAACGCGCTTTCGGCCAGTCTGACTTCATAAGTGCGCGTGTCATTGCGTCTACAGCCAAGGATGTACCAAAGCCTTCGTCGCCGCTTAAAAACGCTAATTCTGATGCTGCCTCCAAACAATATAAGTCTTTTCGACGAGAAAGAATCTTTGCTGCCTTGTCAAAGGATCCCAATTTTACGTGACTGTATATATATATATATATATATATAACATCAAAAGAATTAATTTAATAGAAATTTTTTATAGCTATTAATTATTTGGTTATATTTTAATATTATGTAAAATAATATTTTTATATCGTGTAAATATGGAAAATATAATTTTCATTTACATTATAACGCTTATGATTAATAAAAAATATTAATTAAAAAAAACTTACCAATGAGCTGCCTGCTCCAAATGACCTTTAAAAGTGGCCCATTCAGCCCAGGATTCTAATATTTTATTTAAAAACATATCGTTATCATCCAATTTACATCTCGCAAGTGCATAAGCCTCCTTAAACAGCTTAGCATTTATAAATACTTCTACGGCTTCGTGAATTTTGTGTATAGCTAGTAAATATGATACCGCTTTTTCCGGATTGTGTTGCAGTATCAATTGATGAGCATACGCCTCGCACATTTCTCTCCACATTCTGTAAAATCAATTTCAATTGTATTCGATAGTCACTAATTCTCTTAGATTTGTTGAAATATTCGTACGTACTTCAAAGAAACATTAGGTGCAAGCGATACTAAAAAGTCATTTAATTGTTGATCCCTAGCTGCACAAATTAGATTGCTTTCCAAATCATCACACCACATATTCAACTCAGTAACGATATCTGAATTGTCATGTGCTAACTCTGTAGATAAATAATAAATCATTAATGTCACGTAACAATCTATTGGGTTATCCGGAAAGTTCGTGCCGCAAAAGATTTAAATTTAATAAATGAAATTAAAAATTTAAATCTTCGTTTCAATTTTCCTTCAAAATCGGCACGAACTTTCCGGACAACCCAATATATGTAATTGTAACATAATATTAATATAATATACTTAAACTTACTTTCATTAGAAATGAGTGTCAAAAAATCATTTTTCTTTTCGCAAAATAAAGACAAATTTGTAGAAGTGTCATCTTCTTCGATTTGATTACTTCTTATATCATGCTTGATGAAATTCAGAATTTGAGATTTATCGTTTATTAATTTGTTATATTTATTAAAGTATGATTTTCTATCTTTCTTTTTCGATTGCGATTGAAGTTCTGCAATTAAAAATTGAGAATATTACTAATGCTAATTGTATATCATGTATATCGATTGTATAAAAAAAAAATTATTTACTTGCGATTACTTCAGCAGATGATAGATTAACAGGATTCGTTGATATAGTCGAATTATTTTCTTGATCATCTGTTTTATTTTTCAACTTCTTCTGCTGTTTTTGTTTTTTCTTCGAAGCCTTAATGTCAGAAGGTTGCTTCGGCGATTGTGCTGATAAAGTATAATTCCATATGTGTAGCGTAAAGTCCGACGAGCCAGTCATTATCAACTGCGGTTTGAGAGGACTCCACATACAGCATAGCACTGGTCCATCGTGACCCATATATGTGCCCATCAACTCCTGTTTTTCGACGTTCCACACCTAAAATGATATTCGAAGAAAATTATACAACGATATAAATCATATTGAAAATAATATTTAAACAAGATTTGGCATTTGCAACATAATATAATCAAAAAACAATGTTGTATGATATATAAAAACGATAAATACAAGTTTAACAGAGGTGACATATAACTCTGTACAAGAGCGATCGACTTGTAGTCAGTGAATCTCTAATTTTCATCTCATGTATGCTTCAGTTTTGTAAGAGGTTGACTGGAGAGTTAAAAGTTATGAGTAAAGGAGTTATAAGGTGAACGGTAACCTGTTTCAGGAAGGAGAGAACCCATATTTCATTCTACTTAATAAATAGATAAGCTATGATGCCATAACAACATAATTGAACTATTTTAACACTATATAATGTATATGTATTTGACCTGTGCGATATTATCGTAGCTACCAGATACTAAATGCCCACTGAAATGTGGACTCCAAGCTAAGCACACCACTTTATCGGAGTGTCCGTTTAATGTTGCTACTATCTTGTGCATCGTGCAATTCTGATCATTTTCTATAATGTCCTCGGTACCTGTCGTTTCCAATTCTTTTATCAGCTTGGACATATCAAAAATCATTATACTACACGAATCAGATGCAACTGCCAAATAGTTAGCAATTGGTGACATCCATTTATCTGCCATTGTACTTTCGGGATGCCATGCCAAACAATTCACCACATTTCTTAAAATATGTATCGAACTGCCGCGTTTTCTCAGCTTCTGATCGTAGAACATAATTGATCTGAAAAAAACAAGATCCATTTAAAGCATTTCTTCAATTATTTAAAAAAAAATTGTTACTTAAATATATTATATAT